CTTGATGTTACCGATGGGAAGCAGAGATCATTGGACCATACTTTGCCAAGCAAGCAAAGATGATAAATATATCACAAATATGATAAAGATTGTAAAATAAGATGATGCGCATAAGATTTCGGAAGAAGTTGCAGGAACAGATCGTCGGCAAAATTTGGTCCAATCCTCTCTGCTGTCATTTCCTTGGTTACCGGAGGAAATGACAGCGGGGATTGTCATTTCCTTGGTTCCCGGTAGGAAATGAAAGCGGAGAGGATTGGACCAAATTTTGCCGACCAGCTGTTCCCATTGCTCTCTTGATGTTACCGATGGGAAATGACAGCAGAGAGGATTGGACCAAATTTTGCCGGGCAAGCAAAGATGATAAGGATGACATAAATATGATAAAGTAATTAACAAAAAGATGATGCACATAAGATTTTGGAAGCAGTTCCGGGAACAGCTCGTCGGCAAAATTTGGTCCAAGCCTCTCTGCAGTCAATTCCTTGGTTACTGGTAGGAAATGACGGCGGAGAGGATTGGACCAAATTTTGCCGACTAGCTGTTACCGGTGCTTTTTTGATGTTGCCGATGGGAAATGACAACAGAGAGGATTGGACCAAATTTTTGCCGGGCAAGCAAAAATTATAAATATGACACAAATATGATAACGATATTAGAATATGATACAAATCAGGGGGGAATGACGTGGAGAGGGGGAGGGTGAGGAGGGGAGGGTGGTGAAGAGGGTGATTTTCCTTGGGCGCCGTGCCCCACCCGCCTTCACCCCTGTCTCCCCCCACCCACACCACCACACCAAACCGACACAAATCGACACAAGGCCAAGCCAGGCAGGTAAGGCAAGGGAGGGGGAGGGAATGGGGTGGGGAAAGGATGGGGGGGGGGGGCTGGGGGGGGAAGGCGGAGGGAGGCGGAGGGTAACAAAACACCACCAATTGAAATAATTGAAATAATTCAAGTCATTGAAATACGCCCGATTTCAGTGTTTTCAATTATTTCGGTTATTTGGGGCTCGACATAATTAAAATCCGGGGTTCGGTGAGGCACAGCCACCGAATCCCCACGATTTGAATGTTTGAAATACTTAAAATAAGCCTGATTTCAATTATTTCAATTAATTCAATTCTTTCAATTATTGAAAATGGGGGGGGTGGTTCTCCTTGGCGAGACTACAGCCCCCCCCCCCCCGAGCCCAACGCACTAGAATCACTACAACCCATCCAGCTTCATCCCCAAACCGCCACTACTACGACAATAACAACAACTACTACTGCTGCTACTG